CTAAATATCTTTTTTTGATTTGTGTAATACAATAATTATATCTATTTTCTTTTGCTATTTATTGTAACTCACACTTTAATTATAATGTAATTTTCTTTTGGACAACATCTGAAGTTTCATATACAATGAGGAAAAAGGTGAACTTCATTCGAAAAATTTTATATACACTATAGATTTTAATAGGAGTATACCAAGAACATTTGTTAGTCCATACAACTTTACTCTTCGAATAAATTAGTGTACACACTATTACGATCGTGACTACATTCATTCCCTTGTCTTTGTCCTTATGTTTTGATTCTAAATTCTCATTTTAATAAGATCTAGAGCTTTATAATAAGAATGTATAAATTATATTGTCTTTGGATTAACAGTTTGACACATAAATTTAATAGAGCTTTTTCAGGTTCAATCGTGATTATTAGGATATGATAAGTATTTGTAAGAAGGATTTATCATTTTGTTTTCTGTAAATGTTATTGTTGGCATCGTATGCATCTATGATGGGTTATGTGCAATCAAGATATATTTTAAAATGCATTGTTGACCCTTATGTCATATTGGCGACAATAGTTTTAATCATGATAAAAGTAATTTAAATAGTAGGATACAATATACACCAACATATAAAGATTTATATACTAAATAAGTCACTTCATTATTACCACTTTGAGCAATTTTCCCACTTTTAGTTATCTTTTTTCACTATTTCTTTTCATTTTATTTAATAAGAAGTCCAAAAGTCCATGTAATGTGGGTAATATCTTATAAACATAAGTTCAAAGAGCACCATTGATCTTACAATCGTTTCTAATCCAAAATAGCGAGTCTTATTTTTAGTTTGAACTTCTTTTTCATTTCCTCTATTAATGTTTTGTTCAATTCTTTGAGCTTTGTTCTTAAAATTTCTCTATTAAGAGCTTGTCTTCTTTTTTAAAAAAACTTTTCATAAGAGTTTTAGGTATTTACAAATGTATATTCAGTTTTGATATAAAATTGTTGGAAAATATTGGTACAACAAACAGAGTTTAGAGGCTATTTAAAGGAATTGCTTTTCCGATCGTATGAAGGGATTGTTGTACACAAGTGCAAATAAGATTAGATTTGTTGTGCACATGAAATACTTTTTTTTATATCAAATTGAAGATTACATGAGGTAAAACAAATTCATAGTCTATATTGAAATATTTATGAATATTTTATTTCTCCAAATAAATTATTTTTTTGTGTAACAAATGTGATGAACATTTTAATATCTATATTTCTTGTTTAACAGTGATGATTTAATTTTGACATCGAGCAAAATTTTTGTATACGGATACTGTGAAGTTCATGATTATTATGATCACGGTAATTGTTATTTTAATTTTAAGATTGCCTTTCTCTCTCTTTTTTTTTTTTCATTTCTATTTCATTTTTGTTTTTTTATTGTTGGAAACTTTTGAGTTCTTATATCACGAAACTTATTTTTTTCATATTTGCCTTTTTCCATTTATCAGGTACATTTCTTTTAAATTTCTCAACTCTTTAAATATAGATAGTGTGAATACTCTTTGCAATAATAAATAAATATTATTTACAAAACAATAACATGCACTCTTTATTTATCGATATATAATTCATTCCCAATTCAAGAATCTCTTAATATACTTTCTAATTAGTAATTATATTTGGATATTTAATACTACAAAGTAGTAATTATATAGGAATAAAAGACTAGAGAATTTACATAATCTCAAAAGTATCCAATTATGAAATATGTTGTAATCATAATATGATGCAGTTAGAGAACATTTTTACGATGATAAATACTACTACTAGATATCCTACATAAAAATGGCCTTGCATATTCTTACGTTGTATAAGTAAGATAAGTTACCATTATTGTCAACCGATTCTTTATGGTAGCAGTTTTTTTTCCAAATTGACAATATTCATGAGTTATGCATTTTTTTTTCACATGGGTGGTTTTAAAAGTGGGAAATTCTTACTTGTAAAGTTGAACTGCATACTAAAAAATCACCAAAAAATTGAAAGATTTTTTAAATTTTAGTGATCTTACTAAAATTGTTTATGCTAAAATATCAATATTTGTTCTAACAAATATTTAAAAAGTTGAACTTAAAAGAAATACAAATATAAGAACCATTCATATTAACTTAATTAATTAAAGAAAGTTATAGTATATCTTTGTGATTAAATCTTACTATTATTTAAGAATTCACAATGAATTTGCATTGAGAAACCTTTACATTTGTAAAGTTAGCTCCCGAATGCTATATATACATATACATTATAAGTAACATTTGTAATATGCGAAAAGAAATATAATTTATTTTATTTAAAATACTACTTTAAATGTATTTATTAAATCACTTTGTTGGATTACACTAAATATTTATTCAAACACTTTAACAGAATAAAATCATCCCACTTTATGGTACTATATAGATATATCGTTGTTGTTGCTGGGGTTGTTGTTGTTGTTGTTGTATAAATTAAAACAATTTGAAATATTTATTCAAGGTCCTTCAACTTAATAAGCTTTATAATTTAACATTGTCGTTCTATGTTGTTTTACAACTTTGCGACCGTACATCATGTTTGTGGATATAAAAAGTATAACAAACTTTTATTTTGTTTTGTAACACTAATATGTTATCAATCGATGTAACTTTTTTTTTAAATCGTATACTTATTGACATAGGGTTCATGCGCAAAGCGCGTGTTTATATTATAAGTGGGAAGAACTCAAGTCAAAAGTTGAATTACAGTTTTACACTTTATATAAATAAAAAGCAATTATTTGTTCGACATTAATAATACTGCAGTAAAAATACTCATATTTATGAAGAGAATCAAATTATTAAAGATTTTTTCGCCAAAAATTAAAAAGACCCATCAATTTCCAACTTAATTGTTTGACCTTTGATCTTCATCTACATTAATAATATTGCATAAAAATACTCATAATTATGATTTAAGTCAATAGACTCTTCCTTTTCTCGAGGCACAATACTTCTTCAATTGCTTCTTCATCTCTTGTTTGTGAGCAAACTCATAAAGATCAAAGGTCAAACAATTAAGTTGGAAATTGATGGGTCTTTTTTATTTTTGGCTAAAATATCTTTAATAATTTGATTCTTTTCATCTTCCCATACATAAGGTCCCTTATTTAAGTCACCCAAAGAGCAATTGAATTTGCAAATCCCGTTGAATCTTTTTACTCGAATATGGTGGCGAAACCGCACAAGGCTTCACTGGTTGGTCCACAAGATCTTCCTATAGATTACTATGGCTTCATAGCCGTCATCTTCGGTGTCTTTGGTGCCATGTTATCAGATACAAGATTTGCTCGTGGCTTGTTATTATATTCAGTGTGCAATCCCTTGCTAACATAAGGAATATGGAAAATGATATTAAGCAGATCTCAATGGCTATGATGTTTGGTATCACGGGTCTCATGACAAACTACTTGGGCATTAGTCCCCGGGCAAGCAGGACAACTTGATGGAATTGTTTCATGCACAAAACTCATTTATAAGAACATGTGGATGTCGTTCTGAAATATTTGCATTCTTTTGATGATTCTTAGCTAAATGAAGTTGTAGAATAGGTTTTTGTTTTTATAGTTTGAGCTCTTTTTACAGGGTTATTCTGTCCCAAGTTCTAATGGCTCTAATCTTAGCAAGCACTGTCAACATTATTACTATGGTGATATAACATTTTGTTAGTGAATTCAAGTTTCTATATCTTAACTAATGTCTTGTAATGTTGGAAGCAACTAATGATTGGCCCCTCTTCAATATTCTACCTTCATTTCTACATTTCCCTATTAGATTTCATGTAGAGGTTAAATAATGAAGAAGATCAAAAAGTCATTGAAATGGTCGATCATTAAAATTGTTTGATAATAATTATATGAGACAAACGTGTAGCGCAGTTCTCAAAAACTAGTATATATATATATATATATATAATTCTACGTTGCCTTTTCCAACGTAACAAACAATGGTTCATCCCGCTAGTGATATTTTTCGTTTCGCCCTAGACCCACCCAACTTTAAACGTGCCACTAAAGTGTAAGATCTGCTTACTTATCATGTGTTTTTGTCGATGTGGACTTCTTATCCTACAGAGATGTGTCACAAACACCCTCTCTTATGGACTCAAAGTCCTCACTGAGGTTTGCCCCACCATTGTGATTTTCCCCACCACTTGAGATTTGTCAAGACCTAGTAAAGATGTTTGCCTCACCTTATCGGAATTTGGCTAAACTCAGGTTAACTTTAGCTTGCATCGACACAATTAACAGAAAAGTTACTCTAATACCATCTATAATTGTCTAACCCACTAGTGATATTGTTCTATCTCGGCATAGACCTGCTCAACATTTAAAGGCATCATTAAAGTACAAGGTCTACTTACTTATATATACTTAACATCTCTCAGGCATTTTACTTATATGTTACTTCTTATCCTAAGTTAGGGTGTAATAGATACAACTTGTCTCCTGATTTTCCAAAGCAAATTAAATCATTTTTTACTTTAAAAACCAAGTGTGAACTTTGATATAATAAGTGATGTAGTAAAAAATAATTTGAACAATCGATTCAAAATAAAAGAAATATGGCCCTGATAGTAGGTCATACAAACCTGGACTCTATATAAAATACAACAACTTGTCTGCAAAATAGAAGATTTGCGGATTTTGGTCTAGACATACATTGGACAATAGGCCTCCACCGCTAGAGCCCATCCAAATCAGACTCAATAACTAATTCAAACATAAAGACCCTGCATATTGTTTTTCACTAACTTAACAGATACAATTGAAGTCAAATAAAAGACCCTGCATACTGTGTTTTAACCAACAATAGACTGCATATAAAGTAAATAAGAATTCAAATTGCTATTTTGTTTCCAAGAAAACAAAACTTGAACTTTTTCACATTCATTGAAGTTTCTAATCATGGACTTTCCTCCCTTTCTCCTCCTCTTTATTCTTCTTCATCATCTTTATCTTCTTCTTCTTCCTCCTCGTCTTATAACACCCCGTAGTCTAGAAGGCCACCTAGGGCTAATTGAGGGTGCAACAAGTCTAGACTAGAGGGCAAGAGCCAAGGCAAAGGGGCAAGGCCCAAGCCAAGGGCCAAGGCTGCCCCAACCTTGGCAATCACTGCCTCATCTTCACGTCCACCACCACGGCCAGTGGTGAGGACCACGACTCATGGAGTGGTCTGTGGAGCTTGGGCAGTAGCTCCCTAAAGGCTGCCTAAAGTTGGCACATCACCACGAGCAACTTCACGGTCAGTGGTGAAGACCATGACCCGTGGGATGTCTCGTGGTTATGCCTTAGACTTGTGGGGGCCAAGTCCTTGAATCCTAGATACTGGACCATGGACCGCGAGCAGGACCACGGCTAGTGGTGTGGACCACGGCCAGTGGTGTGGACCACGACCAGTGGTGTGGACCACGGCTCGTGAGCCCTGTCGTGGTGCTGACTCCACGCTACCTAAGTGAGGACAAATTAGGAAATTCCTTTTTTAGTTAGCATTAAGTGGGGTTATTTTGTATAGACTTTATACACCTATGTAAACTATTTTAAACCTTTTACCACCCCAATTACGTCATTATTTCCAAAACTCCAAAAGATCCCAAAGTTCATCTTTTCAGAAAATTTCTCTCTAGAAAACTCAAGAAAGAAGAAGAAGAAGAGACTCAAGCAAGGTAAAATTCCTCCAATCTTCAAAGCTTTGTGAGGGATTTGTATCTAAGGTATGATAGTTTATTCATCCATGGATTCTTCCATCGGTGGAGTCCCCTAGAATTCCCCCAATTGTGAAGATAAATCCCCAATTCAAGTTAGGGTTCCTTCCAATATTGTGCGTTAAGTTGAGTATGATTCCAATTGAGTGGATAGTACTTGTTTATGATTGATTTAGTAGTGAATCATGCTATTAAGATGATATTATATGTTTTCTATGGCTAGCCCTAGTTTAATTGATGAAATTGGAGTAATGTAGGTTTGTGCCTTAAAGAGGGAAATTGAAGACTTAGAGATGATCTTCTAGAATTGATGATGTCTATAGTAATTGTTCAAGAATAAAATCATGTAGACATGAATTGAATTAGATTATAGTATATATGATAGATCATGACTCGTAAGGTTTGGAGTTGAACCTTTATGATGATTTAGGACTAGAATCACTTAATAATTAAGCATGTGATTTGAATGCCTTGAAGTCTAGATATATATGATGATTGTAAGAAGTAGAATCTTGAGAGTACGGCTTGTAATCATGAATGTTGACTTCTAGGGTTTTGAAGGTAAAGCTAATAAGGTGAATTATGTATGTTAAGACTTTGAGAGTAAAGTCTATATGAGAATAGAAGATTAATGGATAGAATTATGGTGGAAAGCCTTTACCTACCTAACCTACCTTATGAATGATATATTGTATGAAGTGATAGAATCACTTGAGTTATGATAGTATCTATGTCTAATGTATTATTACTAGATTTGTTGATTTGATATGAGCCTTGACCCTTGAAAGGGCAAGACATGATTTTATGCATGTTTTATGAAAGCTATGTACATGTCTTATGAACACTTTGAGAGTGAAGTGTCTATGATTATGATATGTTGTTGTGATATGTAAGGCCATTCACACACACTTATGCATGAATATGAAATGATATGAAAGGTTATCTCATATAGAATGATTCTAGGTTGAAGGGTTTGCTCACCTAAAATTAATCTATGTTCACTATGAAATGTGATGAGGCTTGTGGTGATTATCCCAAAGACCTTTGTGTGAGAGAGATGTGAGGTGACTTCCCTTTTCCCTAAGTAGATAATCATGAGAAGATTACCCATGACATGATATGATAAGTGTGTGGTGACTACCCTTAAAATATAACTTCTATAGTAAGGCAAGAGGTGAATACCCATTAGCCTTTATGTTGATCATGGAGGAGAATACCTATGATCCTCGTGTAATGATGTGGAGGCAAATACCTATATCATATAATAGTGGGGCATGGAGGATAATACCTATGTTTCCCTAAAATCGTTATGGAGGTGAATACTTATGACTATACATGTAAAGTAAGAGGTGATTACCCATTTGGCCTATATGATAGACATAGAGAGGTGAATACCCATTGGCCCTTATGATAAGACATAGAGAGGTGAGCTCCCATGTCTTAAGAATAAGTAAAGAGTATTATGCACAATGACTTGTATGGATTGTAGCTCTATAGGCCTTCCATGATATGTATGACTTGAGGTGATTCCCCTTGTCCTTTATGATTCCATGAGATGTATGACTTGAGGTGATTCCCGTTGTCCTTTATGATGTGCTAAATATGAGACCAAAGAGATGATCAATATGCATGAAAGTCTAAAGTGGTACTTAGTATGGGTAGGATTATGGGGTCTTATCCATGCATTGCACAAGTATGACTTGAAGTTAATTATGAAGTGTTCTCTTATATTATGTATACTTAGTTTAGATTATTGCTATAGTTGCCTTCCTTGATATGTTGACTAAAGGTGAAGATTACCTTTTCTATGAAGAACTAAGCTAAGGATGAGACCATAGGATGGTAAGTATGATTATGATCACCAAAGGGGATACTTAGCATGTATGTGATTATGGGATCCTATCCATGCATTGCACAAGTACACTTGTAGGTTACTTATGAAGTGGTTTTCTTATGATATGAAGGTCTAAGTATTGACTATGTATATGGACTATGCTTTGTGATGAATAATGCTTACATTATGTCTATGTTGGAAATTATGCTTATGAGTATGTTATTATCTCTTATACGTGTGGCTTATGCCTTATGTTGACTAACCCATATTGTAACATCTCGCAATTTGAAATAACTAGGAAGAAGCTAATAATTGGAAATAGTCATTTTTGGAAAGAACGAAAATCTCAAAATTTGTTTGAGTTAGGAAAGGTTGAGTGTTGGTCAACTTCAAATGGCCATAAATCCTAGCTCAGGATGATTTAGGTGTACTTCCAGATATGGTTGGAAAAATCTTGGAATGATCTTTCCAACGCCTCCAAGTTTGTGCGATTCTGAGTTCGTATGAGTATGTTACGCCCTTTGGAAGTTGGGTTGTTGGATTAAGGAAAGTCTAATCCGGATTTTGGAAGGGTAAATTAGTATTTTGCTTACCTAATTATTTTAATTCGTTTTAAGGAGTTTAATTGGGGTAAAGTCAGATTTTATTCAGTTTTAGAAAAGTGAATTTCACGCTAGGGCTTGGAGAAGAGGAGAAAGGAGGAGAAAGGAGAAGAACGTTCAAGATTTGTCGACTTCGTCAAGGATAGCTTGTGGATTTCGTCGGGGGTGATCCCTAAAAGGTATGTGAGATCACATAGTGTTGGGTTAGTTCACCCACGCGCCAACCATGATTTAATTCAGCGAATTTAAGTCTTTGCAAGTTTAGAAATTGAGTTCTTGATGAACATTGTTGAAGGTTTTGTTTGAATTCATGTGGGTTGTGTTGTTGGAGTTTTCTTGCGATTTGATTCATGTTTCCGTGTGTAATTTCGGTTTGAATCTATCATATATTGAGGATATAAATGATTCTAAGAGTTTTGGGAAAGAACCATTGAAGTTTAGAGTTGAAAATAGAAGAAGAAAATTCATTAAACACCTGGGGAAGGGGGTAGGGCATCGCGCCAGCCAGCGCGCCCCAAAGCAGCCTCTGAATGTGGGGCTTTGGGGCGACACGCCAGCCAGAGCGCCCCAGCTTGCCCTCTGAATTTTGAGGGGTGGCGCAGCGGCGCAAAAAACTTGTTACTCCCAAAATACACGCAAGTGTACGTGGTTGTATAAGTAGTATAGATTATTCAAGAAACGAGTTATCGTTCCCAAGGGACTTATGATCAACTTATATTCACTCAAGTCTATAATTAAAAGTAACCAAGTAACCTTTTTAAGAGTTGTGATTTAGTTAAGTATCTACTAATAATTATGCACTAATTAAAAGTAACTAATTGTGAACAACTTTGATATAATGTGGTTCAAGCAAGTTTAAAAACAATTCCAGGGCTGCAGCATACAATGAATATCATGTATCATATCATTGGCTTAGAATTCACTTCAGTTGTCAAATTACTGGTTTATAGGGTTGATGGTATGGTCCAGGTGGTTCGCCTCTCGCCGCCTACCCCAGTTAGCCATCTAACTACATCGTTGAGCGGGGATAAATAAACTAACTGGCGAGCATGTATATTTCATCCTATTTCATAACCAAGCAAGGTGTTTGTCTAGGTGTCACTCCTGAACACTAATCACCTCAATTCAATGGGTGGACCGAGCTCTCTATATTCTCTGGTCTATCTAATTCCTCCTCTTTCGATTTTAAGATTAGACACTAGATTTATTTTATGGTGCGCAAGCATAAAATAGTAAAACAAGAATATAAAAGTAATTTGGATTGACAACCGGAAATCAATTCATAAAGCCTCAAACATTCAACACATAATTCATAGCTACAGCCCCAGAACTAAGACGTTTAGCTACTCATGCTATTAGAAAACAAGAAAATACTATAGTTCATGCAATTTCTGAAAACTGGAAGAGTTAAAGGATCAAAACCTATTACAAACTTGAATTCTTGCCCTTGCACACTAAATCAAAAGTCTCCTTTTTGAAGCCCTAAGGATCTATTTATACTAGTAGGAAAAGTTGGTAACCAATCCTACTCAAATAAGAAATCCTATCTTATGTTAAAAACTTGTTTAAGTCGGAGAACATGTGGCGTGTCGCTCCCCTTATCGCGCCAAAACATATCTTCCCTTATTTAGCTCCTGGCGCGCCGCGCCAAGCAGAGCGCCTGAGCAATGCCTCTGAGGTTTTCCTCCTGGCGCGTCGCGCCTCTCAGTACGCCTCAACAGGCTCTCTGAAGTACCAGTAGTGGCGCGCCGCGCCAACCAGTGCGCTAGCCACTGGTGATTGTTGCCTTAGCCATTTTCCTGTTTCTCCTTGCTCCTTCTTCCTTCTTCCATCTTCCCAATTCATATTCCATCAATATTTTCTGAAACAACTAATCACGTGTGTAAGTATGCAATCATCATAAATTAAACTAGAATTCAAGCTAATATATCAAGATTGTCATCAAACATCATCACTTCGTGGGCCAATTCCGACTACTTAGGTATATAAATATGCCTAAGATCAGCGCCCCGCATCTCTCAGAGCGCCAGGGACGCCAGATCCCCCCATTCCTCCCCTATCTTTTTGTACTAGTTCCTTAGTGATGTACCTATGTTTTCTAGTTCATTCCATAACTCTAAGGTACATCTAAACATCATGAAATCATCCATAAACATGAGATCATGAACCTTGAATCCATAGTTCAATTCAAGGAAACTTAGGATCAAAGTCAAGAGAAGTTAAGAGTCAAGAGTCAAGTTAAGAGAAGTTCATAATGTTTTCCAAAAGTCTTTTACAAATGTTTTAACTTTGTTTTAAGACTTGAGTTTTGAGTTGAGTAAAGAGTAAAGTTTGAAGTGCATTTCTTCAGAAGAGTATATCGGGACTATGTAATCCCAAAGAGTAAATGTTTTCACATTTAAACAAGAAAGGAAACTGAGATTTCCAAAAGAGCCTTTGAGCTAGTTTTCAGTAAAAGAGTAAGAGTAAAGTTCATTCTTCAAAGATTATACGGGAACTAAGTATTCCCAAGAGTTAAAATGTTTTCACATTTGAGCAAGAAAGGAAATGGAGATTTCCAAAAGAGCTTTTAAGCTATGTTTTCGAGTAATTATCTCAAACTAAAGAAAGAGTTTTGTTTTTACAAACATATGAGCTAAAGTATATTTTGGCAGTAATATTGAGCACCGATATTGGGACGAACTTCAGTTTAGCTAACTCACGTCTCCATAAACCATGTAGCCATCATGGGTATGAAAGGAACATACTTTTTAGATGACTCCTTCAGATGCATTTAGCATAAGCTAGTGGATCCACTAAGTTAAGCATTCTATATGACGGCAAAGTGTAGGATAGTTCTGGTAGCGTGGGCAAGACGTTTTATCACCACTTAGGCTCATAGTGGTGGTTGTCGGTTAGAGAAACTCCCACAGAAACTATATTAATTTATTATATGAGTAAAGTTGAGTTTGTTATTACATTTTCTTTAAAGAACTAAGTTGCTTTTACTGTTTTACAAAGCTTTTCATATATTGCATATGTTTCATTGCTTTATTTTGAGTTAAGTATTCATGAGTTGAGAAAAGCCAAGGTAAGTGCTTATTTCAGATTCCTTTCAAGCTTAAGTTGTGTTAAGCATTCCAACTCGCATACTCGTACATTCAATGTACTGATGCCAGTTGGCATGCATCATCTTATGATGCAGACACAGGTAACTAGGATCAACGTCCAGCTCCTCGTTGATCAGGTTCATCACGCAGAGTCAGTTGGTGAGCCTCCTTACTCCCGGAGGGCTCCTTTTTACATTGATTTTCTAGTAATCAGTTGTTAGGATGATCGGGGATCCTGTCCTGACATCCCTCCTTGTTTTAGAGGATTCATAGAGTTAGTAGTTCAGTTGTCTTTACTTTATCATTCAGATGTTGTTTAAAGACTTCAGTTGCCGTTTTGGGTAAGTGTTATTTCTCTTTAAAGTTATGTTTTGAGATTATCTTGTTAAGTTAAGTCTTCCGCTAAATTAAGTAAGCCAGGCAAAGGGTTCGCTTGGGGCCAGCAATGGTTCACAAGTGTTAGCCACGTCCAGGGTGTAGGCTCGGGGCGTGACACATATGTTATGGTCTTATGATGATATGCTAGCTATCATATTTAGTACATTTTGTACTAATGCATACTCATACCTACATTCTTATCAAATGTAGGGTTCGGTGATATTGATTTCCATCTTTGAGGCTAGGTTTTTAGTAAGAGAAAGGAGTTGAAGATTCGTGAGTCCTCATAGCATCGAGGATAAAGCCAAGAGAGAGATATTGTAACACCCCGTAGTCTAGTACGCCACCTAGGGCTAAGTGAAGGTGCAACAAGTCTAGACTTGAGGGTAAGAGCCAAGGAATAGGGGCAAGGCCCAAGCCAAAGGCCAAGACTGCCCCAACCTTGGCAAGCACTGCCTCATCTTCACTACCACCACCATGGCCAGTGGTGAGGACCACGGCTCGTGGAGTGGTCCGTGGAGCTTGGGCAATAGCTCCCTAAAGGCTTCCTAAAGTTAGCACATCACGACGAGCCATGTGAAGGCTCGTGGTCATGCCTTAGACCTTTGGAGGCCAAGTCCTTATGTCCTAGCTACTGGACCATGAACCACGAGCAGGACCACAGCCTGTGGTGTGGACCACGGCCCGTGATCCCTGTTGTGGTGCCTGGCCCCATGCTGCATAAGTGAGGCCAAATTAGGAAATTCCTTTTTTAGTTAGTATTAAGTGGGGCCATTTTGTATAGACTTTATACACCTATATAAACTATTTTAAGCCTTTAATCACCCCAATTAAGTCATTATTTCCAAAACCCCAAAAGATCCCAAAGTTCATCTTCTAGAAAAGTCTCTCTCTAGAAAACTCAAGAAAGAAGAAGAGAATCAAGCTAGGTCAAATTCCTCCAGTCTTCCAAGCTTTGTGAGGGCTTTGTATCCAAGGTATGATAGCTTATTCATCCATGGATTCTTCCATCTATGGAGTCCCCTAGAATTCCCCCAATTGTGAAGATGAATCCCCAATTCAAGTTAGGGTTCATTCCAGTATTATGGGTTAAGTTGAATATGATTCCAATTGAGTGGATAGTACTTGTTTATGATTGATTTAGTATTGAATCATGCTATTAAGATTATATTATATGTTTTCCATGGCTGACCCTAGTGTAATTGATAAAATTTTCTCCTCTAGTTCATCATCATATCCTTCATAATGATGCAGCCAGTAGAGCAAATTTAATTGCCTACTAATCTGATAATTCTCACATGTCATTCCCAAATGCAAGCATTTACAATTGACAAAGAAAAGTCTCCAGCACTCAAGACATGCCCTAATCGGACATTCCCTTAGATCATCAACCAGTGTACCCATACAATCCATAAAAGGGCAATCAATAACTATTGGCGTAGTCAGAACTTCCGTTAGTCGAATGGCATCTCTTACTCGCATAAGGAAATCAACCGGCATTATTGAATCGATATCTAAAATTCCATTGCAATCAGAAGCAGGGCACTTCTTAGAAATTATCTCATGGATATCCTTATTAATTTTTTTGCCTATATAATTTTGAATGCATTCTTCACAATAACGATGATTACAACTGGTGCTCTGCATCATTTTGTTCGGCGGAGGAAACACTTTTTTACAAATTTCACAAAAAGTACATGAAGATTCCCCCTTTTTAGAAGTACTTTTCTTTAGGTTAAGTGAATTAGGAATTACAAAATACTCACTTTCTACAGGTGTTTTACCAACACCGTGATTAGAGCTTGATTCCAAGTTCTTACCTAAATGAAACTCAGCTGAGTAGAAGAGAATTTGTTGCATATCGATATCAATATATCCACTCTCGTAACCATTTTTATTTTCGGTGATAGTGATGACAGTAGAATTCAACAAGGTGGGATCAACTTCAATTTCATCGGAGTGCAAGATTTTCAAATCTGTTGATTCGATTTCAACTTGATTTTGCCGTCAATGGGACCCTATATTTCTTTCCCAATATATGCATATATGTTGTATATATATATATATATTGTTTTTTTCAGGTTCTTGTATTTATTTTACTTTTTAGGGTTTAGAATTAATTTGGATTATACCAAATTTGAAATAAATTAATGCAATATGCGCAATTTGGTAAGACAATGTCACCTGTTGAAAGTGATACAAATTGCGCATATTGCATTAATTTATTTCAAATTTGGTATATTCCAAATTAATTCTAAACCCTAAAAAGTAGAATACATACAAGAACCTGAAAAAAATATATATACAACATATATGCATCTATTGGGAAAGAAATATAGGGTCCTATTAATGGTAGAATCAAGTTGAAATAGAATCAACATATTTGCAAATCTTGAACTCCGGCCAAATCGAAGTTGATCCCACCTTTCTAAATTATGTTTTCACCGCTATCATCGAAAATAAAAACATTTACAAAAGCGGAGATAATGATACCGAGTTGCAACAAATTCTCTTCTACTCAACTCAGCTTCATTCAGGTAAGAACTTGGAATCAAGCTCTAATCATGGTGTTGGGAAATAACCTGTAGAAATTGAGTATTATGTTATTTCAAATTCACTTAACCTAAAGTACAGTACTTCTAAAAAGGGGGAATCTTCATGTACTTTTTGTGAAATTTGAAAAAATGTGTTTCCGTTGCCAAACAAAATGATGCGGGGCACCAATTGCAATCATCATTATTGTGAAGAATGCATACAAAATTATATAGGCAAAAAAATTAATAAGGATATCCATGAGATGGTTTCTATGAAGTGCCCTGCTTCTGATTGTAATGGAATTTTAGATATAGATTCAATAATGCCGGTTGATTTCCTTATGCGAGTAAGAGATGCCATTTAACTAATGGAAGTCCTGGCTTCACCAATAGTTATCGATTACCCTTTTATGGATTGTATGGGTACATTGGTTGATGATCTAAGGGAATATCCGATTAGGGCATGTCCCGAGTGTTGTAGACTTTTTTGTGTCAATTGTAAATGTTTGCATTTGGGAATGACATGTGAGAATTATCAGTTTAGTAGGCAATTAAATTTGTTCTCCTGGAAGCATCATTATGGAGGATATCATGATGAACTAGAGGAGGACGAGGAGGAAAAAGAAGAAGATGAAGATGATGATGATGATGATGAAGGAGAAGAAGAAGAAAAACGAGGTGGAAAAGGGGAGGAAACTCCATGATCAGAAACTTCAATGAATGTGAAAAAGTTCAAGTTTTGTTTTCTTGGAAACAAAATAGCAATTTGAATTCTTATTTACATTATATGCAGTCTATTGTTGGTTTAAAAACAGTATACAGGGTCTTTTATTTGATTTCAATTGAAGTAATTAAGTTGGTGAAAAAACAATATGAAGGGTCTTTATGTTTGAATTAGTTATTTAGTCTGATTTGGATGGGTTCTAGCGGTGGAGGCCTATTGTCCAATGTAAGTCTAGACCAAAATGCGTAAATCTTCTATTTAGCAGACAAGTTGTTCTATTTTATATAGAGTCCAGGTTCGTATGACCAACTATCAGGCTCATATTTCTTTTATTCTAAATCACTTGTTCAAATTAGTTTTTACTACATCACTTATTAGATCAAAGTATTAAAGAATTCATCTAACACTTGGTTTTAAAGTAAAAAATGATTTAATTTGCTTTGGAAAATCAGGAGAGCGGTTGTATGTGTTACACTCTAACTTAGGATAAGAAGTAACATTTAAGCAAAACGCAAGAGAGATATTAAATATGTATAAGTAGACCTTTTACTTTAATGATGCCTTTAAAAGTTGTGCAGGTCTATGTCCAGATAGAACAATATTACTAGTGGGTTAGGCAATTACAGATTGTATTAGAGTAATTTTTTGTGTTAACTGTGTCGATGCAAGCTAAAGTTAACCTGAGTTTAGCCAAATTCCGATAAGGTGAGGCATCTTTGCTAGGTCTTGACAAATCTCAAGTGGTGGTGAAAATCACAATGGTTGGGCAAACCTCAGCGAGGATGTTGAGTCCATAAGACAGGGTGTTTGTGACACATCTCCTTAGGATAAGAAGATGTGATTATAGTGCGAAATGAAATTTAAAAAAAGTAAATTAGTGCATATCCAAGTTCTTTCATGAATCTCTTTCTTAGGCAGAGGAAATATATGTTCCCTTCAAAGAAGTGTCACTGGTTCTTTTCTCAAAGTACAATCTTCCTCTTCTCAATTTGCACTACAAAAGTAACCCTAAAAGGAGTGACCACAACATCAGATTTAATCCTTAATCAGTGCAAACTGTTTTGAGAGAAAAGAGCTTCTAAGTAAATTTACTGCTTAACTATGAAGAACATAAAGAGATAACGAAGGAGAACGAACCTCAACTTAACATGCCTCATACTCTAGCTTCTTCCACTATCTCACACTGCGCTGCATCTTCAATTGTTTCATCTTTTCCCTGAACTTTGATAGGATGCAAGTTACAAAAAAACTAGTTTTCTTCTTGGTTTGCCTCGCTTTTCCTCTTTTTGATACATACAAATTACTCGCCCATTAATGATTTTTGTTCAAATTCATCACTAGAAGAAGCCTTAATCAGATGTTTCACTACTCTGGTCTTTTTTTTTATAGCTAAAATTAGAATCAGCTTTGATATGGTTTTAATAATTCAACTAAAACATTAATAGGAAAATACAGAAAAAATACAAGCAAAGAAAAAATATAATACAAGCTCATGACAAAAGAAATTTATTGGTTTTGGAAGAAGACTTTGCAGCTAATAGATGGAGAGCGTTATATAAATAAAAAGAGACAACAAAAATAATAGAAATACCTATATTTATTAGTTGAAGAGGCTCGCGACTCTCCAAAAATATTAGAATGGAATGTTTCTGAGAAGAGGATCAACTCCCGTCAAGCTCAGTATCATCTTTATACAACAAACGTAATCCATACTTCTTCATTTCTCCGGAGAAACATAACGTAATAAGCCCATAGTCATTTGGCGTTTTCCCATTTGCCGTATATGTATCCCATAAGCCAACAAAAGGTACCAAGAAAAAATAAATCTTAGGATAACCGTATGAATGGTTAAATAAGGAAAGTGTTTGGGTGATACCCGACATTCCATCATCACATAAGGGAATCAAGTGAGTTGTGATATTAATCAATTCGCCACATTAACATACAATAAATCCCAAGAAGTTATCATGTACGTACCAATTTTCATTGCTCCAATCTGCAAATGTTGTATTTAATTGCTCTGGAAATTTTGGCAGTTGTGTAAGCCTCTCGCAATATGTTAAGTACAAGATTTGAAGAGCACTAAGTTGGGCTATCATTTCAACTGAGATGCAACTCTTTTAAAGATGATAAGCATCCAATGTCTTGCGGAAGTCCTCCGTCTATTATATTGCAAAAATTGAAATTCAGAATTTTCAATGAGCGTAACCCTTCATTCACCCCAGGGAATACAAAGTACTCACCATCTTCTAAACATAGTCCTTCAAAACTCAAGAATATAAGATTGTTCAAGAGGGCGATTGAAGAAGGAGGTTGTGAAATTTGAGTATCGCTGGCATCAAGTTTCGCCAAGTTCTTGAAATCACCTATCTCTTGTGGCAAGCTTCTAAGTTTTGAGCAGAACGAGACATCTAGCTTCACCAAACCTTTCAACATGCCAATGCTGCTTGGAAGAGATACAAGTTTTTCCATGTCTGACAAATCTAGCTCTGTAAGATGAGCTAGTAAGGCCATAATTAAACCAAAGTTTTGGAGAGAAATTGTTCCTAAGGAAATGTTGGTTCAATTGGAAAATAATGCTTTGTTTTCGGGTTCGATGATTTAGTATTGTCCTTATCAGGACTGTTCAACTATGTTGGTTGATGATGGGAGTGAGTGACAATGTGGTTGACTCTGAGTGTCCTAATTGTCATCAATTGTTCTGTGCTTAGTGTAATGTCTCGTGCAATGAGGGATTGGAGTGTAAGGATTTTCAGCATTTGGGAAGATCAAACAATAGAGGGAAAGGAGATGTGATGCTGATGGGAATTGCTAAGAACAAGAAATGGAGGAGATGTCCAAAGTGCAAGTGTTATGTTGAAAAGAGAGATGGCTTCTTGAAACTAACTTGTTGGTATTTTTCTCATTCGTTAATCTTTCTCTCATTGAATTGTTGTTAGTAATAATTTGTAGCTACATAAATCCCACTAGTTTTCAATATTACATCTTATACCATTTTTCATTTGTAAGATACATGTTTAATAAGTCGTAAGATACATGACTCTATTAGAATTCAAAGGACGTGATACATGTTTTAATTAATTTGAATTAATTGTTGTAACTTAATCCCTTAATTACAGGAGTAAGTTATGGAAACTCAACAACCAAAACGTAATTAATGGATCCATTGTATCAACTGACATCATAAAAATTAGTAATCTAAAAGTGAGAACTTCATCTTCTTCATCAATTCATTTTTTGAATCTTAAAATTTTCGAGATCTCTTTTTGCAAATTTGTTGAGTCATTCGGGTTCTTGGGCCTCTGAAATTGAATATGAAAATTATAGAATTGATGGAATACTTTTGAGAGCTAATGCAAACTACAACGATCTAGTAGATGGTATTTCAAAACAAATTGTACTCAAAAAAGGATGGACATCAGGTACATGAAGGTAATCTAACTCCAATGAAAATCTAAAACGAGATGGACATGAGGTTTTTTATGGAATTGAAAAGATGTCAAACAAAGTGCGGGTTGTATCCATTGTGCATAACAACAAAACATCACAATTTTGGATGTAGCATTAATGATGAAATTGCGTTTGAGCCAGATACATCAATTGTTCAAGTTGAGGATGACGACATGACTGTATCTGCCGCAGTTCTTCCAGAAAATCGTAGTGTAGATGCGTTATGTGTTTTGAATACTAAATCGAATCATGTTATTGGTGACTGTAGTCACAAATTTGTTAAAGTCAAGTAGTGTACA